GCACAGTGGCGCCACCTACATCTTGCATTATTTAAACACATTTTTTACACAGTTGTGAAGCCAATCATAGAGGCTAAAAACTGGCGTTTACAGAATTTAAATGTCACTTTTAGTTTTCGAAATAATTGGCCTGGGAGTTTTTATTGAAACACCCTGTATAGCATATTTATTATTTCTCTGCTTTTTGTATATTTTGGCAAAAAAACTATTAATAAAACATATAATTTATAAATTTACGTACAACAAAAAAGTTTATACGAGTGGTTTACCAAGTATGATATTATACCGGGAATTTTTATAAAGGAGAACAAAATATCTTAAAATATTATAGTGGTGCGTTAATTTCTTGGAGAAGTGTATATATATATATATATATATATATTTATATATATATATATATATATATATTTATATATTAGGGTGTGCCAAAAAACCTCGATATTTTTTTTTCTTGCTCTCAACCCAAAATATCGTAGAATATGTCCGAACAAATATTCTGTTAAAAGCGGAGCTCATAATTTCAATTTTAAGAGGTCCTCCATCGAATCTGAAGTTTTGCCGCTTAAATAACACAGAAAACTGACTTTTTTATCTTATTTATTCTTGCAACCTAGGAAGGAATTTTTTTTTCATAAAATCCATGACTAATTCTTACAAAGCATTAAATTTGGACAAAAAAATCTTATTAAGCTGAATTTCTATTTTCAATATTTGATTTTTTACAGAGCTTTAAATTTAAAGTTAATAATACAAAAATGATGACTTTATACGCCTGTAACTTTAAGAATATTGACGATACAAAAAATTCGCCTAAAACTTTTTTGTGGTCCATCAGACAAGCTAAATAATAATAATAAAAAAATTGCTATTTGACTTTTTCGTCTAACTTAAATAGTTTAGCTGAAAAAGGCAAAAAACGTAAAATTTTAAATTTAAAGCTCTGTAAAAAATCAAATAATGAAAATAGAAATTCGGCTTAATAAGATTTTTTTTTCCAAATTTAATGCTTTGTAAGATTTGGTCATGATTTTTATGAAAAAAAAATTTCTTCCTAGGTTGCAAGAATAAATAAGGTAAAAAAGTCAGTTTTCTGTGTTATTTAAGCGGCAAAACTTCAGATTCGATGGAGGACCTCTTAAAATTGAAATTATGAGCTCCGCTTTTAACAGAATATTTGTTCGGACATATTCTACGATATTTTGGGTTGAGAGCAAGAAAAAAAAAATATCGAGGTTTTTTGGCACACCCTAATATATATATATTATTTATCATTCCATTTTTTTAGAGATAAATTCTTCTGAGAAGCCAAGGCAAAAAAGTGCTGCCTTAGAGATTGCAAATGCCCGCATGAATAATGAGAGCGATTCTGAGCCTTTAAGAGGTAAATATATATATATATATATATATATTGTAACGCTAAACTTTATAAATAAATAAAAAAATAGCGCACTTACCTCGGCAACTCTTATTTGTCGACGCTAGGTCGGGGTTCAGGCAAGTACGAACGAAAATCTTGAGTTAGGGGCGCCAGTTGCGACAAACTCAACAGGTAGTCAGGGTAAAATAATTTCACAATAACGTTAGTTTGCAACTTTAACAATGTCAATTTATTAACAACTATTATTTTTAGGATTATTCTTAAAAATTTATAACATGCGTTGCACTGTGCGAGTGATATCAACTCGTCGCACTGTGGATTATTTTGATTGCCTGCAGCGCATGCATAGAGCGCATGCGTCTGACGCAACAGCTGATGGCTGATAATTGACAGGATCAAAACAACTTAAATCAACGTTAATTTTAACTTAAAATATGGTGTACAACTAACTTAAGGCCCTAAATATGGTTAACTTAATTAAATGTCTGTTACACAAGGTACGTCTTCATTATTTCTAACATTAGGCTACAAAATGTGGATTTTACAAAAATTTTTAGGCTAAGGCTTACTTGGTGGTAATTTCTAGCTGTAACACTCCAATCCTGTCACTAGAACATATGGGATGTTCGTTGTACTACATTCCACCATAGAATCCAGGAAACCAGGTAATTTTGGCAAGTTCTCACTCCAAATCAAATTCCCTCTTATAAATTTTGTAATGGATGCACAACTTTCTAAGGGTATCCAGGCTATATCCCAGAGTGCTTCCAATAACCAAACAAGCCCAACAACTTTACCAATTAGGCAAATACAACCCAAAAAATTATCAAAGTGGCTAAAAAGGCCTAATAATGGAAAATACAAAGAATTGTAGAAAAATATGCGAATTGTAATGTACAGCTGAACTTACCCACAAGATTTGAGCCTTTTTACACAATTTTCAACAATTGATTGACAAAATATTTTAGAATTTGGGGCAATTTAATTCACATCAAGTGTGCCGAAACAAAATCACACACTTAGTAAATTTTAGTTTGTAAAGTGGCAGACTGTGCTATACAGTCTGCTTTGTTATACAGTCCGTACAATTACAAGTTACAATGGTTATTTCAATTCAAATAAAAATTATACATAATAATTATAAAATTTTAACAAAAAACAGATTAAATTGTTCATAAACACAGTACACCTTATAAAATAAAGCCCAAACACAGCAAATGACTAAACTTTACTTGGTAACCGAACCCAATTGAATTAAAAAAAACATACCGTTACAATATATATGTATTAGTGGTTTTTCGGGATCTGCTCCGTGTTGTCGGTTTTTGGTTCTTAAAGTAACCGTACGTCTGACGACGTTTCGGTACAATCTCATGTACCAGGTACCAGAATATATATATATATATATATATATATATAAATATATATAAATTTAATATTCATTGTTCTATAGCTGTAAATAACATTTACAAAAAACTCTGCAGTATTGAGTTTGAAATAATTCAATCAAGGCGAGCAGTCAATGCCCGTCTCGATACGTATGCGAAGTCCTCTTGAAATTGGCCAGGTTGTTCTTATGTTTTTGGCAGATTTATCTGCTAAAGATGATCAAAAGTTATTACAACTTGATGAACAAATTAAAACAAATGAAAATAACATGAATGAATTGGTAAGGGGTACAGCCTGAAAGATGTGGAGGCAATGTTTTTTTACTGTTTATTTTAGGTCGCTTCACTTTACCTTTGCGGAGGAACAAGTATCCACAAGGCAATTTATGCCCAATTAAGGAAGCTTCTTTCAAAAGAAGTTTCTATGTTATATTCAGGGGAAGGAAAAAAGGGCATAAAATCTTTTCAAAATTTAAAAATTTATAATGCTGTAGCCAGTAAGTAAAATGGTAAATCGCAAGGTTCCAATTATACGTTTTGATTAATTTTAGGAGCTGTTCGACAACGTTTTCCGGCAGTGACTGATTTGGATATAAAAAAATCTGTATCTGCGTTCTTGGCCAACGCAAAGGATAGGGATGGTGGTCGTCGCAGTCGGGTATTAGCAGAAATTCAAAACCCATAATTTTTTTTATTTTTCTGCTAATTTTTTTTCTGTTTATTTGCAAAATTTTATTTTTAGTGCTTATGTTATAATTTTTTTAGTTTATGATTTTATTATTTTTATATTATTTTATTAATTAATAAATTTTTAGTTTGTGATACGCTTATTTGTTGTAACTTCTCCAAACGTTAAAAATAATTATTTAGTAATTATTTAGTAAAATAAAGTGTAAACACGATATCCGTAAGTTTTTTGCCAAATTTGAATTTAAAAAAAGCGATCGATGATTATTTGGTCAGAAAACTGAGAGTATACTCCTATGGGAAGAGCATAGGAATTTAAGATCTGTCCTAGGCGGCCTAGACTAGGCTTTATAGGTAAGTATATTGTATACATTACAGCATTAGTCTGGGTCTAAGCGGAAAATATTAACAAATGACATATTTGCTTTAATGTCATACTGTGGAACCACGTTCCAAGTGCTTTCATCAAAGAAAACTGTTTAGCCCAGGACTAAAGCTGTGTTATACTACTACTATAGGCGTTTTTGCTAAGTAGAACCTTGCTAAAAAAAAATTAATGAAAGAAATCTTGGTTCAATAACAATCGGACCAAAATATCCGATCAATATCGGTTATATATGTCAAACAACTTCGGGTCAATGTTGGGTTTCAATATTGGACCATGCTAGAAAAAATCTGACAAAAGATTTTTTGGCCCAATATCAAACGAATATTGGGCCAATGCGGATTTTCAATATGGGTTATATAATGTAAAACAACTTCGGGCCAATATGGATTTCCAATATCGGTTATATAATGTCAAACAACTTCGGGCCAATGTTGGGTTTCAATATTGGACCAAGCTAGAAAAAATCTGACGAAAGATATGTTGGCCCAATATATAAAACGAATATTGGGCCAATATTTTGTGCTACTGGGGAACTCTTTATATTAGCAAAACCAAGCCCAAGCGTAAACTTTAAAGTTTTAAGTTAAAACTCTTAAAAAGATTAAATCCTTACCGATCTCTTTGGGATTTAATCCCAATATGATCTGGTATGATTTAATCACTAAAGTTTCAAAACTTTTTATACATCGGAGAATATAACTCGTGAGCAGATCGAAATTATTTTAAGGCGTTTAAATATCGCTCAGATTAAATCTCGCTGCCGTCCCGACTGTTCGCATCACCGATTGATTCGAACTGGTTTGACCGAATTGAATTTCAAACAAAATAATGCCTCAACCAAATTCCTGCTGCAATCCTCTCAAAAAAAGAAATCATAGCCGTGTTTAGAAAAACATTAAATTGGTTAATACAAATTGGGACGGAGTGTTTCGAAATGTAATCGGGAAGTATTTGTGCAATTCATGTAGGCGATCGGTCCTAAAATCGAATTTACTTCATCAGAATATTTTGATAGCAAAAATAAACGAAGAAAATAGATATACAAAGAAAGAAGACCATCATACTGATAGTGCTTTAAGTTCTGATAAAGTGAATTGTGAACTGAAAGATCCCTCATATCATAAAAATTTAAAAAGAAAGTCAGCCACCGGTTTTTAAGAAGATGCTAAAGCTAAACTTAAGAAACTTGATGTTCAAAAGCCAACTTCTATCAATGATATTAAAATCGCGCTTTCCAAAGCAAGTTCCAACTGTGAAAAGTACAAATTACTTACAACTTTGCCGTCGGATTGGAATGAAAGAAAAATACACCAAGAGTTCAATGTTTCCCTCCGAATGGCTTCAAATGCGAAAAAATTAAGACAAACCAGGGGTTACGGAGCTACTCCTAAAAAAAGAACTGGTCGACCATTATCAAATAACGTTGTAGAAGAAGTAGAGAATATTTACATATCGGATAAATGAAGTCGTCTTATGCCAGGTCGAAAAGACTACATTACGATTGTGAAAAACGGTGTTCGTGAGCAGGTGCAGAAGGGATTATTATTGCACAATATTAATGAATTACACGAAAAATTCAAATTGAAAAAACCCGAAATCAAAATCAGTTTATCTCCATTTGCCAAACGGCGGCCTCGGCATTGCATTCCAGTAGGATTAAAAGGAACCCACAACGTGTCTGTTCGTCACATTCGAGTTTCATAAAAAAGCGCTTAACGTTGTAACCATCATTTTGACAGTTACTCATTTATTTTATTTTAATTGTTTTTTACATCTAGAACGGTATGGATGTACACGGTTAAGTGTTTTAATTTTACTAATTAAGTATAATTTTAACAAGGATAATTGTTTACTTCTTTAAATGCCTCTTTCCAAGAGAATTTATTAGTTTTATGGGAATTCCTTTTACTGACACATGTTTAGCATTGCCTAGGAAGTATTTAAAATTCTTTTAAGCCATTTATTTAATTTTATTCAAAAACTTTAATTTAATAGTATGCAACACAGAACACTTCCGTGTGCGGTTGATAATTTAGTGTCAGTGGAGAGAATTTTCCAAAAGGTTGCGTTTAGGGGGTAGGTATTTGGGTTTTTGGGTATGTCACTGGGGGCGTATCAGTGCAAGGGTGGCCGAGGGAGTATTGACGGTTGAAGTTTGGGTTCTGGTAGAATTTGCGGGAATTCTTTGGGGAAATGTGTGTTAACATAGGCAACAATGTTGGGATTTTATTGGGTTCGAGACTTTTTCAGTAGGTCTTCTACGCACTTAGTTTTCTACGCATCAAATTTTGAGTTGAGCGTCCTTTTAGTATTTGGCCGTTGAAGGGTTTAGATGAGAGTTAAGTTTGTGCTTAAATTATGGAAAATTTCCTAGAACACGTGGTAAATCTCTCAATCTAATTGTATAATTCCGACTAAAACACTTTTCGTGTGGTACAATGAGCTCTGGGTTTGTGTTATTCCCTCATTTAAAACGAATTTTTTTTTCTTGCTGACACATGAAAATTTTGTTTTTTAGGTTGAAAAAAAAATTCCCTGAAAATTTGAGCCCTTAATTTTGATTCTAAGTACTGTACTGTAGTTTTTCCATATAAAAAGCATGTATTTTTAATCATTTTTACTTTTAATTTCTATATTTTGGCCGGGTTTTGAATTATAATTTTTATCACCATAATTTCCTGCATAGTATTCACGGTTTTTGAAAGGCCCTGCATCAATTTTGTTTTTAATTTATTTACGTTGATTGTAGTAGCTCCAAACGTCGTTTTTTCACTTTTTCTCACATATTTTTGAGAAAATCGAGCGAATGACTGGTTTTACCGAAAAAGTTCAAATAAAAAAGTTGTAGAAAATTTAATTTTTGACAAAAAAGGTTTTCACGTTCATATCACTAAAGTGCTTTGTTTAAGAGATATAAGCAATTTAATAACCAAAAACAAAGAAAAAATATATTTTATTGAAATTTATGTATATGTAATTTGATTCAACAACTATATATCAATTGATTACTTAAATTTAACACAATTAACATGGAAAAAATTAAAATTTCATATTTAGTTAACTTTACCAAACCAATTATTGTGTATAAGTTTTGTTTACTATCATGAAAAGCAAAATATACCTACATTCATACCAAAGACTCCAGGTATTTAAATATTAAAAATAACATAACAAATTTCAATTTGGATAATCATATAAATAATAAATTTATAGTGAAATTTTACATTTATCGAGTAGTTCACTTTTTTTTACAATTCGGATAATTTTTTCTGTGGTTATGAACAACTTGCAGTATATTTTTTTTCTCCTCTTCATTGAGCGTTAAACAATCATTATATTTTTCGGCCAAAGCTACACCTCTCTCAGCAACATCGTTTACCACTTTCAACCATGAAAACGTCTTTAAACATTCGTTATAGTTCTTATCGGATTCCCAACTATCAGGATCATTATAAATAAACTCGTACGGTAGTTCGAATGCTTTGAAAAGGAAAACTGATTTTTCGCTTGCAAAATCACATATTTCTCTTGTTGCTAATGTATCAAATGATCCTTGCGTTATTTGTGGACGTTTACCTTTTATATTGAATGATTTATTAGATTTGATTTGATTTCTGTTCTCGTGTCACATTGAAGTCAAACAGAGCCAAGCACACCACTTCTTCATGTAGATACCAAAGATGCAAACTTAACTTCTCAAGAGCAGCTGCCGCAATTTTAGGTTGCATTTGTTTATATTTAAGCAGATTTTTAAATAGTTCGAGATCATTATTGGAAGCTTTAATCGCACAGGGTGCTTCAAACCACGCTTCAACATAAAACAATGTCAGAAAACAACAAATTTCGCGCAAAGAAGAAATTTCTGAAGGTCTCATCTTGAATTCACTTCTAAACATGTACATTTTGAAGCTGTAAAGAGCTTTTGAAAGCCACCTGGCATGGTGCATTGCACCAGGAGCTCGGAATTTCACTACACTACTTGGCACAGCACCCAGAAAGATTTTGCAAAGCACCAATAGTTCCTTGTAGTCATCTCTTGAATGGTTTAACTAATGGAGTAATCAAATAAAATGTACTATGGGTTTATTTAATTGAAGTTGACTTTTACAAATTTAAAGATCTATTATGATAAAAAAAAATATAATGAAATCCTATTATAATAATTATCACTAAATTTCAATCAAATGTTTATTATATTTTTGAATAAATTTGAATTTATTAATACTTTAAAAGTAATCAATTTCATTATATTTTAAATAGTACGACGTTGTTAAATTTATTTCTAAATAATTAACTTTTTTAGCAATTTACCTTAAGCTGTTTGTCGAGAAAAATAACTTTTTCATTTTTTATTTCAATCAAAGTTGTTTTGATATTTTATACTTTGATTTGTCAATTTTTTCCCACGCAGTTTGAAATCGTTTAAAGATTGGCACATTTGGACTGTTTGTTGCAGGCCAAGCAGTTTCTACAACTTTTCTTAACATTATTTCGTGTGTGTGGTGACGACAAGCAAAATATAATATCTCTCTTCCCAATTTTTCCGTTAATAATGTACAAGTGCCGTTCGTAAAGCCTGAGAATTTTAAATCAAAGAGATAAATTAAATATGATATTGATAAAATTGAAATAGTAAATCTTAAATCGAGTAAAAATAGAGAATTTCAAGTTACCGGTATTAACGCTGGGTGTGTCAGAACACATAGCTTTAATTTTGTCCTGCACATTCCATTGAAGTAGAACTTTATGAATCCACCGGTGGATTCCTGAAGTATTGGTGCATCCAGCAATATTTCAGTATCAATGCCTGTGACTAAAATTGGAAGTTTCTCTACTTTAGATGTCGAAGAATTGGTCGGAAGTAATTTGCCTTTAGTGCAGAGTTAGACATTTCGGAAAATTTAATTTTTCGAAATTTTTTGCGATGATTATGTATTGTACTATGACTTACGTTGAAGTCATCTATATCTAAGCCAAGACTGTCTAAAATAGCACAAATAACATACATCGCTTGTCTATCAGTCACTTGTGTTCTATCCAATGCTGCAACTAATTCTGGAGTCATTAAGCTGATTTTTTTGATTTTTGCCTTGGGTAATTCATCCTCAAAGTTCGAATGGACTCGTTTATTATCACTTATATCTGAAGACGAAAATTGGCTTAACTTTTGACTCAAATCTAAAAACATAATAAAAAAATTGTAGATTTTTATTAATTAGTTAAATTATAGATAAATGGCTCAGTGAACTAAAACAACATTCGTTTACTAACTTATTGTACTGCAATCATTTTGATTATCATTATAATTTTCCTCTGTCTCTTCTTTGTGTTGTTCTGTAGGCTCCTGATTGACATTTGATGTTTCTTCAGTGACTAGAGGCGTGCATCTGTAACCGCCTTTTTTTTCGACTTTTTAATAAGAATAATTTCGTTTCGTTTGGCAAACTTTCCAATTCAGATATTTTTGAAATATCAAATAATGTATCCAATTTCCTTTCAAAATGCTTTATTTTTCCAATATGAATTGGTGTTTTTTTCCCTTTTGAATTTTTTTTCAAATTCTGATAGTTTTGATAGAAACTTTCCAATTTTTTTATATTATATTGTGAGCGATTAGTAGGAATCAAAAATTTACACCAAACATCATTCAATTCGCAAAAAGTTTCTGTTGAGCTTTGTCTGATTGTAAAATTTAATATTTTGTGCTTGTAGATAAAAATATTAATGACATCCCGATATGTAGGTAATTTGTTATCATTTAATTTATTTATTGGAAAACCAATCAAGTAATTAAATATTTTATTCCCAATTTTTTCACTCAAACTAATAAATATACGTTTTTATCAACCAATTTATATTATTGGAAACATGTATAAAACAACAAACAACAGAAAACAAAACACTTTTTTTTAGGTTAGAACTTCACATTAATAGCACAATTGAAGATATTAATCAATCAAATTATAAAGAAAACACTAAGACAATACTAAAAACGATTATTGACAATTAATAATGATTTATAAAACGGTTTTTATTTAATACTCGATTAGATTTCGGCAAACGTAATCACAGCGTTTGATAGATAGAGAAAAATGCAAACTGATAATTAGCGCCGATTTAACTCTACTAGTGCTTACGGTAATTAAAAAGCTTTTTGAAGGTCAAACAAAACGGTAATTAAAGCAATCAAAGTATCTAACCAGAGGGCGCGATAAGCAAGACAGTCAGTAAAAAAAAATTGAAGTGAGACCGAAGAAGACATCGATTGTCGATTTATTGCATGTTAATTGTGTTAAATTTAAGGAATCAATTGATATATAGTTGTTGAATCAAATTACATATACATAAATTTCAATAAAAACCCATTTTTTCTTTGTTTTTGGTTATTGAATTGCTTATATCTCTTAAAGAAAGCACTTTAGTGATATGAACGTGAAAACCTTTTTTGTCAAAAATTAAATTTCCTACAACTTTTTCATTTGTACTTTTTCGGTAAAACCAGTCATTCGCTCGATTTTCTCAAAAATATGTGAGAAAAAGTGAAAAAACGACTTTTGGAGCTACTACAATCAACGTAAATAAATCAAAAACAAAATTGATGCAGGGCCTTTCAAAAACCGTGAATACTAGGCAGGAAATTATGGTGATAAAAATTATAATTCAAAACCCGGCCAAAATATAGAAATTTAAAGTAAAAATGATTAAAAATACATGCTTTTTATATGGAAAAACTACAAAATTAAAAAGGAAGTACTTAGAATCAAAATTAAGGGCTCAAATTTTCAGGGAATTTTTTTGTCAACCTAAAAAACAAAATTTTTATGTGTCAGCAAATTTTCGTTTTAAATGAAACACCCTAGTGCACTACACTCCTTATACGTTTGTGTACTTTTGAGTCGAGAGTTCGACATAGTCTTCAACTTTTAAATTGTAGTTAATTTAGTCTATTAGACTTTGGTTTTTGTAAACCATATATGGTCATATAAGGGTGCACCAAAATTATAAATCGAACAAATATTTATTATTACATGAAAAGTGATCACTTCAACATCGCTGAAACAAATATAACTGATTTATTTTTTTTAAACTTGAATTTTAATAACCGCCCTTAATCTTTAGTAAGATTGTGTCTTACTTAGACTTTACCAACTGGCCCAAATAAGACACTGGCGCCCAATTTTGGATTTAATTTAGTAAACACACGTAAGTATTGAGAAACAACATTTGCCCATCGACCTATTTCTCCGCTGCTAAGCTGCCGTTCGCCATAGCCCTTAAGTTGAGGTTACAATGTCACCACTCTATTCGTGTGTGCAAGGATATTTTTTTTTATAAATTAAAATAATGTTAAGATATTAATTGCAACTTTTTTTAAAATGTGTATATTTAAAAAAAAAATCAAGTTTTTCCAAAAAATCCAATTTTTATAACCCTAGTAAATGGTCATAATAAATAATACAAATAGAAAGACCATAGTCTTTTTAGTATAGTGTTAGTGTTATTAATAAAGACTAAAAAAATTACCGTTATAATGGATTTTTTATACACCAAAACCTATGTACAAGTTTTTAATTTTGAAAATTTGATAATTTAATTAAATTTTTTGTTATACTGTTTCCATTTTGCATCGTTACAACTCAGATATTTTTTTTTGTGGCAAAGTGTAATTAATATTTTATTTTATTAACTTTTGGTCGAATTTATATTAAATGTTAAAAACAATTATTATTATTATTATAAACAAAAATTATTCATTAAGTTAATTATTTATTACAAAACTGTGTTTATAAAAATAAATGCATCAGATATGATTATATTAGAGGAAGGATTTTTACTGTTTATAAATGTCTAACATTTTTTCCTTGTCATTATTAAATACTTTATAATTTCTTTATTATAGGGAATTGTTTTTGAAAATCATGGTCAATCTAAAACGAGAAAAAAATAAATAAAGTTGTATAAATTCGCAGATTGTAAAACTTGCCAAACTAGGAATATCAAAAAATCTAGGAAACTCTTTTAAAACATTATTTTCCAGATTTTTTCTGTACACAAATGTAAAATCCATTTTTGCATATACAGCCTCAATGTCTGAAGAATCTGCGTTTTTTTTAAATTCCAAAGCCTCGATAATTTCAGGCGTTAATTCCGGTTTCAGTTTTTTCTTTCTCATCTAAAGGGTCAATAGGTTTTCCTTTCCTCTTACTACCCTGTCCCAAATTGCTGTAAATTGTTCTTAGACGCCAGGATATTGTAAAAATGTTATTTATTTTATTTATGGTTTTATTTTCCCGGGAAAACTTGGCGGACTTTCTAATAAAATCTCGGGCGCCAACTTTAATGGGTTTAAAGTTCCACTGTATGCGAGGGTAGCTTTTAAGATTAACAGTGGATATAAAATTCCAGGGTTTGGGGAAATTTTTAAATAAATTGTGTCGTTCGGTTAATACATATATTGAAATTAGCCCTCGTAGGTACAAAGAATGAAATTATGAATAAAATGGATTATGACTTTACAATAAATAATGCGAAAATAAAATATTAAACCGAAACTGAATGCTCTGTATACGGTCCAGAGAAATAAATGTAAGTTAAAGTGGAGTTTCTGAAACAAACAAACAGAATATTGTTCACAACAACTTAAGTTAATTACAGCTGAAGTCGGTCGGTCGGCGGTCGGACGGCAATTCTCTCGCTGGTACGGACTGCTGCAGAATTAATCCATGCTCGGAGGCGCTGCTCCCGCTTGTCTCCCTCCTATAGCGGGATGCGCGCTTCTCAATCGTGACATCAGGTCCTGATGATCAGGATTGGCAGGTCAGCCTTGTTGCAGGTTTCATGATTCGGCTGTATCGGCTCGTTGTTAGAGATGGGCAGATCGGATCTGAACCGGTTCAGTTAGTCGGATCTTTAAAAAGATTTGACTGACCCGACTCTCAAAATAAAAATTAACGGATCGCCGATCCGGCGAATCTTTATTTTTTGACAGTATTTGGTAGGCACAGTTCACAGTAAATCAGAAGATCTGGTTCAAAACGAGTGATGGCCGTTGACCGACCGAGCGCTAATGTAAATATGATCGATATGGATGTGAACGATCTAGTCGAGACCGATCTCGGCGAGATCTGAGATTATTTATATTTTTGGATTGGATTTGTTCATTTGTAGTGACCCGCACATTTTGTTTAAATTTACCAATCACAAAAACCACCCAATCAACTTGTGTCAGGAAAGAACCCATTGTTGAGGCATTGTGTTTTTCTATATGTTGGGTTTATAGATTTTATGAAGTAAAATAGAAAAAATGTTAAATACAAAATTAAACATTTTTATTAAACCATTAAAATTACAAATTAAAAGTATGAAACACCTTGTTTAAATGATTTAAAAACGCCTGTAAGCATTAGGATAGCATAAAGTCGAAGAGGTAGTAGTTTAGCGCCATTAAGTATGCAACCAAGATAAGGCTGAGGTATACTACCAGAGACACTACATTTCATTATGTTGGAACTACGCGTGGTAGATCACAATTAAAGTAGGTAAAATAAAGCACAAAAATAATATTTTTAAAATAGTTCAGTATATTACAGGTTTATTTAATAATATAATTTGATTGGTTATTTGAAAAGGGAAATATGTCCGGTTTTTGTTGATTTTAAAATTTTGACACCAAATCAATTTTTTAATAGGTATAAATACATCTATTTACATCAGGAAGGGACTTAGTAATAGCCGGATATAATCTCTTCTCACCTAATGGTTAAATTTATATTTATGGTGTCAAAATCTTAAAATCGCTAAATCGATTCAATTATGATTTAATACTGAATTAATAATAATTATATAGGTGTATATTGTTATATCTAATTAATTAATTAATATATATATATATATATATATATATATATATATATATATATATATATATATATAAATATAATGGAAAATAGAAATAGAAATTAATGTACAAAAATAAAACTAATTTTTATTCAACAACTAAAAAAAATAACATTTAATAAAAAAACAACCTAAAGATTGACATGTAAAATCAAAATTTCATTTGTCTTAGAACTACGAAGCCTGTTCCTTTTTTTGGTAACTATTTGTCCGCTTTTACTAAAAATTCCTTCACATGGAACTGATGTGGGCATAACACAGAGTCTTATTTTTACCAATTCAAAGAGAGTAGGATATACGTTTTTCCTATTAAACCACCAAGTCAGCGGATCTTCATGCCGATCAAGAAGAGGTTCATTAATATTAATATTAATAAATATCTACCTCAATGATAGCGGCTCTTTCATCAAATGTTTTCCATAGTATGGACGAACTAGAAGGTTGTTCTTCATGTGGGACTCTATCAATTTGATTTTCTTTTTCTAACGCTATTAGTCTTAAGTCGTGAACTTTTTGATTTTTTACTTTTGCCTTTAAAATTTCAATTGCATTGTTTGCTTTATTGGAATCAGCAAATCCATTTTTTTTAAACGAGGATCCAAGAGCGTAACTTGCTGGAAAAGTTCATTTTGTTCATAAATTTTAGAACGTGAAACAATTTCATTAAGGAAAACATTCATCATTGGTTGCAATTTTTCAAAAATGATTGTCTTTTTACATTGGCGTATTTCATTTTCCTTTGAATTTATAAATAAGTATATTTTTGATGCAGCAATATTTTGTTCTGCACTTATTTCGACTGTTACATCATTAAAAATTTGAAGAATAGTAACTGCATTTGCTGCTACTTCCCAGTCTATGGCACTTAAAGTAAGTTCTTGCTGCAAAATAGCTAATGTCGATATAATGGCATCTTTTCTTTGACAAAACCTACTTATCATGTCCAGAGTGGAATTCCATCGAGTACTTACATCCATTTTCAATTTTAAATTAACCAAGCCCATTTGCTCTTGTATTTGATTAAATTTGGCAAGCGCATGGGAGCTTCTTTTGAAATACTCAACTACCTTTTTAATTTTAAAAATAATCGGTGCTATTTCTTGAAGACCTTTTTGAACAATGAGATTAACTGTATGAGCAAAACAACCTACATGGCGCCAGTTGCCTTTTCTTATGGATGCAACTATATTGGCAGCGTTATCACTAACCACAGTAACAATTTTGTTTTCAATTTCGCATTCCTCAAATTTTGTCTGCAAAAGGGCACATAAGTTTTCAGCTGTATGCCGTTCATTATAAGAAATACATTCTAATAAGTTGGAGGATAACATTAGTGTAGTTTCCTTTTCAATAATCCAATGCTCTGTTATGGCGGTATAGTTATCATTGGTGATAGATGTCCAACTATCTGTAGTAATACATACCGCATAAGCATTACTAATTATTTTTTTTAACAATATTTCTTGTTTTGTTATATATTTGAGGCAGTAATGTATCTAAACAGTCTTTCGAGAGGGTAAAGAATAACCTGGACATATCATCTTAGTGAATTTCTTAAATTGAGGGTCTTCGACAATTGAGAATGGGTGGTATTCTTTAACTATCATTCGCATTAATTGGTCATCAAACTGTTTAGATTTACTGATAGGAACTGGTTTGATTGTCCAACTGTCTATTTTATTTTGTCTCTTAAGAGAATTCTTTTTGGATTGTTCGGGTTGGTACTGAGATGGTTCAAGTTTGTCATTTTCTATATTTAGGGTTTGAAGATCAGACTTAGTATGTACTTCTGTATTTTTTTCTCTATTAATAGGGATTCCTAAAAAAATAAACATAAACAAAAATAGAAATTACACGTAATTTTTTTTTAAAGTGGAATAGCACTGGCTAGACTATATATATATATATATATATATATAAACGTGTCGTTACTATAGTAATTTACTTACCAATATGCTTTGAGCGTATATGTCTTGTAAAATTTCCAGTGGATTCCTTGGATATTAAAGCTGAACAATAATTGCATTTAGCTTTATTATTTCCTTCATTTAATTCAAAATGATTCCAAACCTCACTTTTTTTCCGTGAAGACATTTTTATTAAGGTAAATTGTTCGGTATATGGCTTTAATAACACTTGATAATATTCACAAGCAACATAAGTATACTGAAATTACCGATCGTCTTGGTATTCCCCGATGCGTTACATACGAGAAAACTGGTTTTACGCCAGCGCGAACCGACGCCCAAAAATAATTCTTCAAAAGATGATAAGGGCCTTTAAGACAATTGTCAGACGCTTATAGATATGGTCATTAGGACGACGTCTATCGGCTGCGGTGACCTAATCACAAGTTCTTTTACTTTTTTAAATAATATTTTATCAATTAATTATTTTGTTTTAATTTTTTGTGTAAATTTTATAGGGAAAGCAAAATAGAATTATAAATTAATACATTTTAAACAATTTTTATTAAAATGGCGGTAAAGTATTTAAAAAGTGTAGTCAGATGTGTAAAAAAATTATACTTTCTTTATTATTTTCTGATTTTTTTTAAACATGAACCGACTGATCCGAGAACCGGATCAGTGATCCGGATCCCTATAATGAGCGGGATTCATTGATCCGATTCTCGAGAAAGATCCGGATTGCCCATCACTACTCGTTGTCGAGTTTTAAAAAAGCGGGTGTTGGAATTTCTGCGTATCGCACAAGTAAACAATCGGCCTACTTTTTGCTGTGCGCGTAGATACCATACGGGTCATTCCGGTGGTAGTGCTACATATGGGCTATTCCGGGGGTCGTTTATGAATTACGTGATTTTAATCATTTGGATCGGGATTCTATGACACAGGGTAGGAATAGGGAAAAAGTAACTTCGTTACAATATATACCCTTCCCAACCATTATTATTGGTATAAAAAGCCTCCTGCGGAAATATAAATAATAACCCATATAAAACAGAAAAAATATAAACTTACATATCCATATTTTCCTGCTGGATCTCGCAATGCAGAAAAAATGTCAATAATTGCTTGTGCTAAACTTCTTCTGGCAAATTCTGGTACCTTTGTACCATATTTTTCTACAAGTTTTGCAGTTGTAATATTTACAATTTTAATCCTCTCAGCATTTGTTAAATATCCTTTTTGATTATATGCGCTAATTATCTCAACCCCATTTGATTCAATTACTCGCTGCCATTCCTTAAAAACACATTTTGTATGTATACAAAAACAATTGCATTTATAATATTATTGTTTATATAAATCTCTAATAGACAACAATAAAGGGCAAAAAAACTATTTAAATAAATTTTAAATATTATGGTTAATTGAAACACCTTGGATTACCGCTTAATGAGGATCCCAATGATAAAACAGGTGACTGTGCTAATACAACAAATTTGCCATCCTGTGTGTTAGTATCATCGGTTAACCAAGTATTCAAAGCAAGTGACCCATCAGAATTTATAACAGTTATTGTTGAATCTGAACTATTTACTGAAAAAATGCAAATTGGCATAATTTTTTTCAAAATTTGTTTTTGGAAATATTCTTACAGACATTAATATGCCCTCGTACTTTGAAAACTTTAATGTTTACCGTCCTATTTTTTACAAGAGCATACGTTATTAATCGTTACAAAAAAATAAAATGCAAACAATTTTGTCATACCAATTTTCTCATAATCGAAATAAACATAATTGTGCTCTACTTTGGCAGGTTTAGTTATTGCTCCGTGGGATATTTTTATAAAAATTTTATTTAGATATACAATCTTCAATTTAAACTACAAGAAAAAACAAAATTGTGTAAACATCATAATTTTTATATTAAATAGAATTCGTAAATTTTAAATAACCACAAATTTTGTTATAAAATATCTAGATTTTTACAAAAGTGCTGAAATAAATAAAAAAATAACCAGAATAATATACAATTTTTATTATTGATAACACTGTGCGACAAATTTAAGGTGACCAATTTTAAACCGGATTTCACTGATTTTCCCTAAAAGGGCTAAAAATGTATTACTATAAAAGTAATAATAATTTTAAATTTAAAAAAATATTATTACGTTAGACTAAAAAAAGAGAAAAAATGCAGTTTTATAAGAAAATTGACAAAAAAAACTAAATTTTATGTATTAAATATTCATAAATATAAATTATTTTAAGATAAACCTTTTCACAAAAAGTCGGGAATATATTCCCTATTACCTATTTATTTCCTAAAACTAGGGAAAAATCCCGAGGTTGGCAACACTGCGTATGCTAGTTTATGGCTATCTTCAAACCACATTTCTGAAATTTTTTTTAAATAATTAGTGAATATTAAGTAAGTTATCCCAAATAAAGAGGATAAAATGCAATTTTATGAACACTTGACCAAGCACTTGACCCTACTAAATTTGATTTCATCAATTATTCATAAAAATAAATTATTTAAAAAAACCTTTTTACAAAGAATCGCAACAAGAAACATTAACTTCTTTGACAAAATAATTTATTTTTAAGCGAAATTTGGGGTATATAAATTTACAATTACTAACCTAAAACTCAAAAAAGCCAAAAAAAAATCAACAGGTTTTTTTATTAAAAAAGTATACTTTCGGAAAAAAACCAATTAAATATGGTTTAAAATTTTGTGATGCACAGTGGAATCGACGTGATTAAAAATAATCTTGTTTAATTAAAATATTTAAATTAACTCGAACAAATGTTTATTTTAAATCAATGCATGCAATGGATGCATTCATTGTTTTGAATTGGATTTGTATATAATTTTTTTTTTATTATTTTATTTATTTATTTACATTTACATTTTTTTAAATAATTCTAAAGTGTTATATTGTTGGGGTTTATTTAAAATTATTTTGATAATGCGTTTTTGAATAATTTTTAAGCATTGTAAGTGCGATGGATTTGTGCCACCCCATATTAATATTGAATAATTTATAATAGAATAGAATAGAATAGAATAGAATAGATTTATTGATGCTTGAAATTATACAATTTTTGCACAGGTCATAAAAATACAGATACATAGATATACAGAACTTAAAAATAAAATTGTACATAAACAATAGTAAAACATTAAATATAGTTAACACGTAGATACTGTTATACATTATAAAGTTTAAAATAAATAATTACATAGCAGGGTTTAGGAATTCCTTATACGAATAAAAAACTTGATTTATCAGGTACGTTTTTAAAACTGTATTAAATTTATTTCCCTCCAAGATTTTAATATGATTGGGAAGTTTATTAAAAAATAAGGGGGCATAATAAGATGATGCATTCCAAGATTTAGACAGCCTACAATATTCCACTCTGAGGTCCCGGTTGCACTAATGCAAAATACACATTTTTAATACGTTTTAGAGACATTATATGTTTTAATACATGAAAACAATACATTACTTTTCTTAATTTGTTACATATATCTGCTATGTGCAAGTCCCATTTCATGTGGCTGTCAATTGTTAGTCCAAGATATTTTACTAATTCTTGCCTTGCCCAGATCAGTATTTGTAAAACTAAAGAACTATGTAGATAAAGTGGAAATAATAAAAAATAGGAAAAAATTAAAGGGTACCAAGATCCACATCAAAGAAGACTTAACGAAGAATAAAATGGAAATATTAACGGCCGCTTCTGAAAAATTTGGATACAAGAATGTTTGGAGTTTAAATGGCAAGGTATTTACTTCTATAAATAATAAAAAAACCGAATTAAAAAGCTTAGAAATTTTAAATAACACAAAGTAAAAAAAAATAAAAAATTTCTTTTATAACTGATAATCTTTAAACGGAAAGAGAAGAAATGTTTATACATACTTAATATATTTTGTATTTATTTGATTTATACTTTAATATTGTATTTTTCTTTTTGAATATTTTTGTAAGTTGTTATAATAGTTTATTTTGTAATTATGGCGGAAATTTTAAAAGAATTAGATAGCTATAATAACATAGAAACCTATAAAATTGATGAATTTAGGGATTTGAGCGACATAAATTTGCAAAGAATAAAAAATGGACTAAATATAATTCACTTTAATATACGTAGTATAAATAAAAACTTTGATGAAGTATTAGTATATCTGGAATCGTTAGAATTTAATTGTGATGTAATTATTTTTGGGGAAACATGGAATATTAATGAGGTTTCACAATATAATATAAACAATTTTACACCATATTATAACGAATCGAGATTAAATCAAAATGATGGGCTAGTTTTCTTTGTAAATAACAATATTAAACCATTAATAAGTCATTTTAGGCTGCAAAGTTCTAAAGTAACTGTTTCCAGAATTGATTTTTCAATTGATGATGTCAAATATAATATTTTTGCTCTTTATAGGCTTCCATCTACTGATCCTGATTTGTTTATAGATGATCTTACACCTTTCTTACAAATCAATAGCATTGGTGATTTTAATGTTTTTATTGGAGATATAAATATCGATATTAAATCAGAAAATAACATAACAAACGCATATATAAATACTTTAAGCGCAAACGGATATATTTCATATATTAATCGATCAACCAGAAAAACCCCCGAAAATGGAAGTTGCATTGATCATGCTTTTATAAAAATAAATGACAAACTTAAAAATACTAATATAACCCCTATTATTCATAGATCACATATTACGGACCATTACAATATTTTAATTAATATTTCAAACAATTTTAAAATTAAAACACCTAAATTTGAGTTCAAACAGTTAAAACTTATAAAATACAAAAAATTAAATGCAATGCTAGAAAATGAGAATTGGGAGATTATTTATAGGGAAAACGACTCAAACAGAGCCTTTGAACTATTTATAAACAAATATAATTACTATATAAATACCTGTACTGCGTACAAAAATATAAAAAACTATAATAAATTAAAACCGTGGATAACAGAGGGACTAATAAAATCAATAAAAACTCGGGACAAATTAAAACGACGTTTGCTAAAAGAAAAAAATAATATAGAACTTTTAAATGAGTATAAAAGGTACAGAAACTTTTTAACCAAACTACTAAAACAATCAAAACAAGTTTATTACGGAAATAAAATTAATCAA